CTTAAATTTTTGAATTTCTATATTGTAATTTTAATAATTTTTATTTTTATTATTTATTAATTTTTTATTTTTAATATTGTATAACATTATTGAAATCTTATAATTTTAATTTTTATAATTTTTTCTTACTTTTCATTTTATAAATATAATATAGATTATTTATTTTATAATTAAATTATTTTTTTTTAATTTTTATAAATTTACAAAAAAAAATGTATTGAAATCCCTCGATCTTTGAGGGTACCATAGCAACTCCCAATTATATTTCGTATATATTTGACACTTTTCAACTTTTTTTTACCTTCTATCAATCAATCTTGTACGGTAGGGGCCGGTACCATCGCGATCCGGAGAGATTTCATACGCTTTCTAACACTATTGAAGAAATAATGAATCATAACAGAGATCAGTTCATTGAGACGGATTGAACGACTTTCAAAATATTGAGATTTATTTTAAAAATTATGAATCATAACAGCGATCAGTTTATTGTCATTGTGATGAACATTTAAATTTATAACTTGCACTAACTAGCTAGGGTTGGAATATTCTTTTCTTTACGGTCGTCCCATGTGAATGCAATTCCATTTTTTATTATAAAAATTGAGCATTTACATAAACCCCATGTTATGTTCTGTTCTTAAATAAGGTAGTTCAATTTACGTATGGATCGAAATTGTGGGGTTTTGGTTTTGGTATGGTAGGGTGAATAATTTGGTATATATTGGCAGTGTTATAAATGGTATGAGTCTTGGCATCTGTTGTGTTCCAGTTAGAGTAAGAAAGAGATCTGCATTTGTAATCTCAAAAGCTAGAAATAGGGGCAGGGCAGCATGGGTGATTTTGGGATGTCCAACGTGGTTGTGGTAGGAACCAATAAATAGATAGATCTACGTATTGTAGTTAGAGTTAAGTAGCTTTGCACCTAAAATAGGAAAGAAAAAAAGATTTAAATAGGGTATGGTCCCCTCCTTCATATCTGGGGAACAAAAGGGTTCTCAAATAAGATATCCTGTGTTTCTAATTGTTGCTACATTTGCTTTGAGGGTGGGAAAATTGTTAGTGCCTCATCGCATCCAAGCAAAAACTTTCTCCTTCTCTCTAGAACAAGAACAATTGCAATTTGCAACTCTGTCTCTGATAAGTGGTGAGCGCGTGCAGTTGAGAGAAAGAATTGGGTAAAATGTGGAGCAGGAGGACCACGTGCCCCCAAGAAAGTCATGAAAATGACTAATCTGAATTTAAAAAATGAAATTCATTGCACCGTGGATTATAAGAGGTTGGTTTAGTTTAGATACAGTAATCACAATGACACCATGTACATTATTCGTCAGTGGGATAAGTGGGACAGGGCAAAATCCTTGGCGGGACCCACTCCGCTATCAAATTTAACATCCACCATCATCGGATACGACACGTGTACACCCTATTCCTTCTCATATATTATACATTATTTACATTTTAAATTAATGTTATTTTATTTCTTACTCTTACAAACCTCTTTACAACATTTTAATTATTATATTGTTTATTTGTTTTCATACGTTTTTTTCTCTCATTTTTCTTTATTGCAAAATCTGCTGCAAAAAATATAATATTACGATAATCTTATTGTTAAAATGTTCCTGCTTATAAAAATACATAGTAAAAATACTTTCTTATACATAAGATAAGATTGGGAGAAATATACAGTGGCTGTTAGTTTTTATCATAAACAATTGAAATTAAAACACAGTTGTGTGACTGTGAATCTAAAAAATACAAAATATATATAGTTTGAAATATTAACCATTCATGTATAATTGTATGAATAAAATATATATAAAATTGTACTTTGTCCTTGTAGAGATAGA